GTCTGGCCCCCTGATCAACTTCTAGTTCGGCTGTTAGGGATATGCAATATCGGATTATGTGTCAAGTCCGCCGAATTGCGTCAAGGTATATTACGAACTTATTGCGAAATGCGTCATGAACCGAGCCTACCGCCAAACTAAAGCACGTCAGTTGCCATGCCTACAATGCTTGAGTCTCCCTTGTTCTTAAAATTTTTTGGTGCCCATGATGTTGTATATCTCGAATTCTTTCAGAGTGAACTTCGATTGCAGCAGCTAAGTCGCTTCTTGAAATTCATAAAGATCACAGCAGAATGTGATTCTCAGCGAAGTCATCACAAGTAGAGCACCCCCTTTTGACTTTTTTATTCTTATACTAGCAGCTTGCAACCTACTGGCCAGGTATCTTCAAATGTAGTTCACTTAATTTTCCAAAGTATTTGTACTCTACTCAAAATAGATCGTAGGAAAAGTAGCCTAAATACAACTCTAAATACATTTTCGAATGGGCATTTCGTATATTATATTAACTACTTTTTTTTTTTTTTAATTTTGCACAACACTGCTAGCACTCGCCACAAATTCTCAGGTAAATATAGCGTAGGGTGTCTCATGAACTGTTCCCGAAGAGCTCGCTACTCTAGCGGACGACAATGTTGCGGCGATGGGCGATCATCCTAAGTTGGTTGGTCTCGCAGCAGAGCTCTTGGCCAGCAGACGACAGCCGGTTCCTCCGAGCCTCGCATTTGGTGCAGTGACAAAAACGCTCCCGTGACGTGGTGCCACGTGCCTCGCTCCGGCGCTTTTATTGGATCTCGGGGGCCGTAGCCTCCACAGTTGTCCAAGTTATCATGAAACGGAATATTGGCGACGTGAGCGATCGAAAGCGTCGCTGTGGTCGGCCCACCACAATTGGCCGAATGCTGACTATGACGTCAGCAAAGGATGTCTCATCGACGAAAATAAGAGTTATAAGTTTAGAAAGAGTTATATACGTAAAGACAGGGGACGGGACAACACATCTTTCAACTTTCAAGGTTGAAAGGATGTGTTGTCCCGTCCCCTGTCTTCACGTATATAACTCTTTCTAAACTTATATCATTACCAACGCGCTTACTAACAAGTGAAAATAAGAGGAATGTAAGAACTTCAATTTTGACGGTATTGGCAGTGTTGCTTTGAGAGCGCTATGATTTGAGGCTTCCACCTGCTCATTACTAACACCATTAAACTTGTTGTTCACTAGGTAATGACGTCACGAAAGGTAACCAAATAAGGGCGCCACCGAAACATCTCTCCGCTAATAGGAGTTGATCGGGCACCAGACTTGTTGATGAGTACGCGAGTGAAGGACACGCGTGCACGTTCAGGAGAAACACCGACTCAAGGAAAGAGCGAGTATTTTGTTTCCTTCTTCAAAAGCGAGAAAAAAAACATATGTACCTTTAAACTGTCAAAAAACAAAAAAGAGCGCTTTAGAGGAAAACACAGGAAACCCAGGACAGTGTCCGGAAAACTGTTTCTAAACCCCTTTCCCTACCTTCTTCTGCACCAGTTCAAACCATTCTTGAGGCATTGGGGTCAAGATGGTCAAGATTCCAGAGTCAGAATCCACTAGTTCCTAAATGACTCCACCTGGCGGAAAATTGGTTTCGATGATATTGAAAATGAGACAATGCGTACATTCGGAAGGAGATGAAAGAAACGCTTTCGAGCGAGCTTCGGAGTAAAAGTTAAGTTACAATAGGCACACAAGGAGATTTCGGGAAGCCCACTCTAGGTCACTGCAGCTCAATGAAGCCAGTAGGGTCTAGCTTCTCTGGGCAAGGGAGTATCTGCACTCGCATGAAAACGTGTTCGCGCATTTTCATGCTGGAACACCCTGAAGCGGCGACTTCCGAAAATAGTTCATTGGGATCGTGCCGAGCGCTGGCGTCACAATCCTCCTTCACCAGCACTTTGCTAGCTCCAAGCGTGACGCACCATTCAAAAACATCTTGAAAAAAAAACAAAAAAACGTGGACAAGAGGAAAAAATAAAGACGTTTACAATTTTCTGTAACGCCGAATTAGAGCGCAGCTCTTGAGAAGGAGGAGGGGAGGGTACGGAGGGGAGGTTATGTCCCTCCTCCTTCTCCGCTAAATTTAGCGAGTAAAATTTTCCTCTAACCCTCGTGACGTCGCATGTGACGTCACGTGCAACGTCACACGTGTCATCACATGTTACGTCACGAGGGTAAATTTATTGGGAATATTTTTCCGCGAAATTTAGGGGAAACCTTTTTCCACTAAATTTAGCGGGAATATTGGCAATGTTAAATGCGTTTGATGTCCCACGTCACGTGACGTCACAGTTGACGTCATATGTCACATGTTTTTTTTGTAATGACGTCACACGCGACGTCACGAAGGTAACCCTCGTGACCCTCGCGAGGGTAACCCTCGTAACCTTCGTGAGGGTAACCCTCGTAACCCTCACGAGGGTAAACCTCCTGACGTCACGTGTGACGTCATTATGGGAAACGTCCCATAATGCAACACGCGGTTACGCCGACGGTGACGGCGACGGCTTCTCCTCTCAAGCCGAAAAGGGGCGCCTAAGAGCTACGCCCTAAAAAGGACATATAGAGGCGAGCGTACGTGTGGCTATCCGTTTGGTTATTAGTTGACATTTGGAGACTGTGTTTTGCTCGTGCCTTGTTTCCTGTTCTGTGTTCGGTCGCTTGGCTCAAAGTCTGCAATCGGCTCAGCTTCACCCTGGTGTCTGACGATCCCTAATTCCGTAGATCGTTCCGGCGAAATTTTTTTTTTGTCACAGTTAGAAAATGTATTTGAAATACTGAGTACAAGGTAGTAAGAAATGTAATTAAGATAGAGTAGCAAATATTTTAGACGAAATGTACTTGCACGATACCAAAATACTACCGAAAGTATTTAAAATACAGTATCTCGAGAAAAGTATTTAAAATAGGCACTAGTCCGTGGGCACGTATGTAGTATTGACTCGTGGTAGATTGAAAACAATTAAGAAAATTCTGGTTCCTTCACTCCAGGATAGATAAATCAAACAAAATATTCCTGTGACCGTGAGCGCATTCCTCTTTATTCTTTCGGAAAGCATAGTGGATCCAGAACCGCCAGCCTGTCTAGAGGCAACCGATGTAATTCGTAGGTTGCAACCTTAGCTGGAATGAGGCAATTTACCGGTATTACGTGCTCTTTCATGCACTAGATCTGTCTGGGTGGTGTTGCCCCTCCGCCACTTACGACTACTGCGATCTGTAAATACGATGAAAAAAAAAAAGTATGATCTACATCACGAATGATGTAACAAGGTAGGCAAATAGGGGGCATGACATCTGGTACTCTAGGAGTATTCAAGCAACTGTACTATATATCCCGTCACGGCGCAACACCGGGAGAATATTGAGACGAATAAAGGCATGTTCACACATGCACTGCAGCGCTAATCCAGTGCTAATTCACAGCCGTAAACAGCGCTGACCTAGGCGTTGATGTAACACTGCTGATATTTGCAACATGTGGGGCACATGTTAGTATTTCTATAGTAGGATTAATTATGAGTCCATAAGGAAGATTTTGTCGACGAAACCTAAAGCAATGTCAGACTTTCGACTTCGACGGTGTTGATTTAAAAACGCGATTACTCCAAGCCTCCATCGTGTGTTTACACACAGGCCATCAAACTTGTTGTTCGAAACTGACGACAACTAGTCAAGATCACAACACGTGATGTCACGGCGAGGGAAATCCTGGTCATGACGGCAAGCATGAGAGTTTTAAAAGGGCGCAACCGAAACAACTCGGCGCTAATGAGCGGTTTCAGTGGCGGCGTCTCGGTGTTTCTTACCTGAGGCCAAGGATGTGTCATAGTACTTATGATTCAGGTGACTTATTCCCGGTTGTGATCAATGGGTTCATTAATGTGCGCAAAGGACACCGTTGAAGCACCAAGTTTTCCCCAAAACCATAAATCGTGTCTTTATCAGAATAACGTTGTCTCACAGTTATATAGCAAACGGAATCAGACTCGGCGCCTATACCGCTTCTATCGTCAGCGTGGAATCTTTATGAAATTAATCTCGCTGCGGCGAGCTGTCTCGTGGTATTGCAAGTTCATGAGAAGAAACCTTCATCGGTGAGAGGAGGAAATGCAGTGCTAAATCAACTCCGCGCTGCATATGTCAACCGGCCTTAAAACAATAATTACGACACGCGCGAGGCTATACATGCATCCATTCGCCTGCCAACTTTGTGCTAACGACAATTTACAGAAGGGGGATCAAATGTTTGCGCAAGCGATGCATTGCTTCACAGGTTTTCGAGTATACCATGCGATTCGAGCCGGAACTTGCAATGAACCGCTCGATGCACCCTTAATGATAGGCCACATATGCACAATGAGATATGCCATCTGGTACGTTGTTACACGTGGTGAATTTACTCTCCTCTTCCGGCACGCCGTACATAAAGTTTTTTTCGAACGAGCCATAGAGGATACCGCTGTCCCTGCCGCGAGAACCAATTTGAACCTCTGCACGCCGTTTTACCCCGTCGTAAAATGCGCGGAGCACCAATTTAGCCAGAGAGCAGATGTACGCTCTCATAAACCGAGCGCGCGACAAACGCGTGAACATTACGCAGCCCTCTCCGCTTCGAACAAACTTTGATTATCATCAACTTTAATTGAAATAAGTCGTTACGCGGCACGGCTCCGACGCGCGGTCCGATGACGAAAACGCTGCATTTCACCAGCGTCCTTCTGTAAATAATTGCTCGGACTTCGGTTCTTAGTGTTTTGTTATTCCGTCGGTCCTTATTCTAAGTTCCTTCGTTGCTATTTTTGTTTTTTGAAGTTATTCGATTGTAAAGAAGCGAACCTGGCAAGCAATCGCTGACGCTAGATTTGCCTTCGCTCTCTATGGTACGTTTGGTGAGAGTTGGGTCTTGTAAATTGATTTAACGTCGCTGTTTCTTTCCTCTCTTTTTTCTTTTTTTCAGAGCCCGGTTGGTCCGTGCTGGGTTTGGGCGTCTACTCCACCATCCTGCTAATAGTTCTCGTCATTCTGTGCTTTGCCCTTCTGGTGCTCGCTGTGGTTGTGAAGCGCTGGAGAAAGAAGCGCGCTCTAAGAGGTAAGTTGTTTTTGTTGTTTTTCGTACTAGATTGCTTACCGTTTAAGCGCTACAAATTTCCGCTCTAGTACGCTTTGGTGCAAAACGATTTTATTTCCAAAAAAAACCCGAGCCGAAATACCTAGTGTATTTTCATCCTTTCCACCAGTTTGTGTTGATTTCGGCGTACTTGTTTTATGCTGCTGTATTACAGCGAAGCTGTATATCACTCGTTGATCGTTTTTTTTTTTTTGTTTTTTTTTTTTGTTTTTTTGTGACCGTCGGCAGAACAGTAGTCTACAGAACAATAGCCGACAGAATGGTCGGCAGAAAACCATCGCGCTCGCCTTATCAGCGTTCGCGCGTGCCTTACCATTCGTCATGTGGTTTTGACACTTGTTTCAATAAGAAAAACACAAAACAAGTGTCAAAACCCCATGATAGGTGATAAGGCGCGCGCGAACAATGCCAAGCACGTAGCGCTCCCCGCATTCGTTTCCCGGTAAAGATTGCGGTTTCATAAGCTGCCGTGGCAACGGCAAAGTAAGAAGTGGGGAGTGAAGTCACTAGCCCCGCTAACATTTGGAAGCACGTAGCTTTCCCCGGATGCGTTTCACGGCAAAGATTGCAGTTGCATACGCCGCCGCGGCAACAGGAGCGTACGAAGTCTTTCATGTATAAAAAAAAGTTTTGGTACAGTACATTTAATTTTCTTCCGTCAATCAGTGGGTATAGACGTTTTCTGTCTCCTGTCGTTCTCAGTCACGTGGGTTCCGTATCTGGTATGCGGGACGAAAATATAATAAAATATTCCAGCTTGGAATATGCGTGAAAATATAGGTGAGTCAAAACAAGAATGTGTGACAATCACGCATTTTTTGTCAACACACTCCAGCTGCGTGGAGAGATCAAAACGATGTTTTGCCGCATACCAGAAGTGACGACATTCAACATGGCTGCGCTCTTGTGGAAAAGATGTATAGACCTTTTTGCTGTTTACAAACATTACTGCCGCTTGCGTCCGAAGCGACTTTGGTCGCACTGTCTTTGCAAGCCTGTTGAGCTTGCTTATGTCACCAGTGCTAGAAAGCATAAATGCTACGCGGACAACAAAGTTGGAGATTTGACGAGGGCCTTCGGCAGTGCAATATTACATCTTGGGAGAGGCAAGTTGGTTTACAAGAATACTAGAAACATTGCAACAGATCTCGCACTCCTTCGTTCTTTTGGCGTTCACCTAGAGAATTGGTGGTTAAAAGTTTTGTGTAGGTACATTTCAAGCAGTGGTGTTAAGGTGGCCCTTTTTCATCTTGTTTTTTTATACGCTCTGGGACGTCAAAGAGTAAAGCACCACCTGCTGGCGTCTGTCATAAAAAAATCTATAGTGCAGTGGGCAATCGATGCCGGTGATACCACAGCTTCGCCGACCAACCACTTCCACGGCGTGGATTGGAGCCCCAACTTTTTTTTTTCTTCATTGAGATCCACGACGGTGTTACGACAAGTTGCCACGTGTATACACCAACGAATCATCGGTGCTATGTTTTCGCAGTGCGAACTCAATTTTATCCTTGACCCTGTTTCACAAACAATTTCAAAGTGACACTCTTGGGGGGCACGTGCCGAAAACATCGAGATAATGGTGGCATCATCAGAGCCTCCAGGACGTGATTGATGACTTTATCGAGTGAGGGAAGGAGGGGGTTCAACAGTCTCGTCTTGCGTCCTATTTTATTCTTCTCCTGTTTATTTTTCTATTTTTATTTTATTTATATTTTGACTTTCCCGGTGCAATTACGCGCGCTATTCTTGACCCAAGTCTGTCATCGCGCTGACGTTTTTTTTTCCACTCCTTTTTTATTGATGTGTTTATGTCGACAATTAACGTTGTGTATATACGCAAAATCGAAATAAAACGTTTTCTGTTTCAGAAAAGAAATCTGGAGATCACAAAAAAATGTAAGTCGTCTACGTGTCGCGCTAGACAAGAAAGCGGTAGACTGAGCTGACGCTTTATCATTCTGCGCAGAGGGCTGTCTTCTCTTAGATTGATGTGTTTCTTCGTAAGCGCCCATCTGATCTTTGATGCTTTCATCCAGTCCGCATGCTGCTTACCATAAGGTTTTGTTGTGAGCTTCACTTTTTTTTTTTGGTTTATTTTTTGAAGCATGAAAGACCTTTCGTTCGCGAATTTTTTTCTTTTCGAGTGCTTGACTGGCAAAGGTTATATACAAAGGGTACGCACTGCGCGGTTATTTACAGGTTTTCCGACGAACTTGGCCTTCTCGTATTTTTTAACACATTTATTCCGGTTCCTTTCAAAATATGGCGATTAATCGTATTTTTTCAAACGCCGACTCCAAGTGTTTAATTCTTACTTTTAATTTTTGGTGTGCCCTATTTTTATCAATCGGCGAGAGTGGAAAACATGCTTCTCTGCCATTTGGGCTATAGGATTTAATTTTTGAGCAGTAACTATGCCCTATTTTTATCACTCTGCGAGAGTGGAAAACAAGCTTCTCTGCCATTTGGGCTATAGGATTTAATTTTTGAGCAGCAAATAAGCCTATGACGCTGCCCGTTACTAGATGCCAGTGCTACCCAGCGGGGTACTGAAATGGACTGAGTGTTTAGTTCGAAATTTTAACTACCTACAACTTTGCCTACCTCCAACGTGCAGTGTACCTCCTTCCTGCAACCACGATCTAAACGCTAACATAGGGCCACAAAAGTACAAAGCGATTGCCGGCAACTCGAGAGTCTATCCGTCGCCGGACCACATGAACTGACTTCCCCTGATAGGGTGTTAATCAGAGAGCTAGAAAGGGACCGGGTCCTTGGAACGGAAATCATTCTAGTAGTACCAAAGCAGCCAAAAGTGCCTGATCCTGTGATGGCGTTAAGTTTTGGGCACTGTTCTTGAAATGTGGGTAAAACATGCCTGCCAAAATTTACTTCCTCTAAGATTTGGCCGCTCAGCCGGATTTGAGTCCCCTTACTTGAAATCCGTGCTACATTGCACACACCTTAATTTAAAAAGTCTAGACCGACAGTAAACACGTATTAACTTTGAGAACAAGCAGTGTAAACAAACTCTTTTATCTCTTGTGAGTAGATTCTCTCATTACAATTTCTTGTGTTTTTGTGTGTGTGTGTTTTTTCCTTAGGTGTTTAGCCACAATTGACCGAGATCAAACAGTCAGAAAAGAAACGTTCGCTGGTAGTGACGACAACGTGGCTGTCTTGGACATGAAAAGTAAGCTACATATCCAAAAGCATTTCGAGTCTTTCGCTGTCATCTTTTGCCATTGCCGTTCAAGCAGTAAAGACTGTATGGTGCCGCGATCAAAGCTGATTTGCTCCTTGATATCCCCAGGCCTGCCTACAGCAGTCGGTCGTTCCTTTGTCGGCGGATTGGAGGAGCAGCCCGAGTACGTACACGAAGTGGCATTGGTCGGAGCGCGCTTGCCCTGCCACACGAGTGAGATCTACTACACGCTGCCTCAGCTTCATGGTCGCCACAACGGCATCCGCTTGCAGACCTTCTCCAGGGAGGTGATGTAGTGAGTGCTTCGTCATCAGATCATCGTCCCCTTCCAGACCTGAAGACAGTGGGGCACGGCAGCAGAAGCCAGCGCTGTCTTCGATACACGTCGTCGGCACTTTCGATGAAGTGCGCGAGGACGAGACTGGCGCCGCAGACTCACAGTCATTAACGTGGTTCGGGCACTTCTTCAGGCAAGATATTCTTGCTCCGGCGAGGTTGGGAAGAGTGCCGCGCCGAACGTATAAGGTAGTCGTCGACGTCCCGGTGAAGTCGCGCGTTCCTCGTGGCGCCGGCTGTACGTGTTGTAAAGAAGCGTCTCTCGGATGAGTAACGCTCGGCCTGGTGAAAGACCTGGTGGCGCGAGCCTTAAAGATGGACGAATTATTTCTCATTGTAGTCAACATTGGTTTCATTGTGATTGCTCGTTGTTACGAAGGAACCGAGTGTACGTATACAAACCCCGACGAGGAAAACGTCACGCTGTGTATCTATACATGAACTGCTGTTTTGTCTACTGCGAGAAGGGTGCTCGCTTGACGTGGTTCCTTTGTTTGTTGCCAAAGTGTTCCGGGGCCAAGGGAAAACCGAGGAACACGGAACTAATCTGTCTGTTGCCGCATTATAGCACCGACCACGCGAGTCCCATATGTCCGTGTAGTATGCTCGTGTCGATTGCTCGGAACATCGGATTACGAAGCGTTTACATTACCAACATGAGTATTGTGTAGTGTACAGCAGTTACAAAGTTTGGTAGCTTTTGCATGCTACTTTTACCGTGCTGTTGAGTAACTCATCGATCGCCAAGCGTTTTCATTTGATTTACGTCTTTTTTTTTTCAATGGTGCTGTTCCGTTCCGTTCAAGAAGTGTCCCAGTGTAATACGGGTTTTCTAACGCGCACCGCTTGCTCACACCTGTTACTTCTTCCTTTTTCTTGCTGAACACGTTCGTGCGTTGTCGTTAGCATGAGGTGACCTATTAGCATAGCCCAGCAGATCTTTACAGGAAACGCTGTAGTCCGTCAACGAAAGAAGCTCTAGGCCTGAACTAATAGGGAGTGTTCGCGTGACTCTAATCCGTCAAACTTATGGGACTCAGTCGTAGTCTCTTCTCAAAGGCAAGCTTGAATGTGTAAAATGCATTCTTATGCTGGCACTTGCTGAGCATAAAACTCAGCTAAAAACCAATAGAAAGCATAACTTTCTAACTCAGCTGGAAGACTCCCTGTGCGCAAATATGGACGTAACTTTCTCCAGCAGGCGTACACTTTCTCTAGTCTTTAATTTATGCATTTTCGTAGTGCTTATTATTTTTACCTTATATGGCTTCACCTGTATTTTGTGCTGGTCTGGTGCTAAGTTCGGGAAGTATCCTGCTTGTAAATAACGTACAAAATATAAGGGCTAGCTATTATCTGAAAGGGGAAGTAAGGTGTATGTGGTCTTCGCATTGTTATTTTACGAACTTGAGGAGTGCTTATAGGGCAAGTCAATAAGCCCAAAATATTATTAGGCATTAAAACATCAGACTGAGCACGATAGTACATCTGTCTCGAATGAGGAGGAATAAAAAGGGATGGTAAGAAATACGCGAGCAAAAACTCATCTCGACAGATTGCCTCATTTCCTCCAAGAGGATTCATCAAATTATTATCGCGGAGCGCAAGAAGAAAAAGAAAAAAAAAAGCGAGAAGCAAAACGCAATACTCGTTGATTGTTTTATCGCCATGAGTTTCGGCCGTTTGCAGCCAATTGGTGCTTACATTTTTTTTTTTTTTTTTTTTTTTCTGAGCCCGCACGGGGACGACCAGTATCCCCGAAACCGCAGCGCGGACGTCAGCGCCGGAGGCATCGGCGAAGAAGGAAGGGTCGTCCCGTTTCCCATTTCCTCATCCGGAGGCATTTTGCGAAAGTTGGCCGCCCCACCCAGCAGGCACCCTTCCCTAACAATCATTCGCGCATCAAACGTTTCAAAATTCAAGGTCCATTTCCAAGAGCGAGTCTTGTTCTTCCCCTTCGAAGCGATACCACCGGAAGAAGTCCCTCGCCACAAAAAAAAAAAAAAAAGGAAGGTGAAAAAACAAAACGTAAACTGCGCAAGTAAAGCCCGCCCAACAAAAAGAAACGGCAAGAGTCTATTTTTGTGCGCCGCGTCTATGTATATGGAAGTGGACTAATGGCGGGGGTGTGGGGGGGCGAGGAAGAAGCTCGTGCTTTGCTGGCCACCCTTTTTTGTGTGCGTTTGTCCGCGCTCAGTTGCGCCAAAGTTCTTCCTTCCCGCATCGTGGTGCGGGAGCGTCGATCGCGGGCCCCCAGTGATATCGAACTGTTCCGGTAGGGGAGTGTTCCTAACGACCCGCGCGACGGAGCATCTCGAAAAGATGGAGCGTAGCGCCATCTGCCGTGCTCCCGCGAGCAGATGGCGACCGACTTCGCTCGTCCATGTTGCTCCCCTTTGAATCCACCGGGTGTAGCGCCCGCCCGGGGTTCGACTAGGGTGGCTTCATGTGCACCCATGGAGGCATTCGAGGTTCGGCGCGGCGGGCCGTGTCACTGGCCTTTTGGCTGCCGGATCGCTTCTCCGGGCATCGGCGCGTCCCTGGCGTTGCTTGCTCGCTGTCGCCACTCGGAGATCGGGCTGCGCTGCTCCGCTGAAATAGGTTCCCGTCTCGTTCGCACTCCGTAGTCAGGTGAAGGTCGAGTGGCCTGGTTGGCTGTCTCCTGCGGGTCGTTGCTTCATCCGTTAATCCTTCGCCTTCTTGGAACATTTTTGCGCGCTCTTTCTTTTAGTTCGAGATATATATTTTTTGTCCATGTTCTAGCGGCAGCAAAGAACCTTAACGGATCGTTAAGTCAGCCTGATCGATCGATTGATTGATTAATTGTACTTGTGTCAGTCAGCTCAATTAAGAGGAAGGTATTTCCAATGCTCGCCGTAATGGCCTGCTTCGCAAATGGCTGCTCCTTCTCTTATGTGTGCAGTTCAAGATCTTCGCGTCGTGGATATTTATTTCTTCTCAATTCTAACCAGACGAGTCTCTCCAGTGTTTGGCTACCTTGTTGTGATAACGAGGCAACTGGGGTACCCCCACCTCCTTTTTTTATATAAAGTCTATTACAGGTTTATATTGGGAAGGTGCATTCACTAGGTGGAACTGCGCTCCCCATTCCGTCACCGGTGTCACATCCGAGAGATCAAATATTCATCCATTCATGCATTTAGCCGTAACCCAAAGCATATATGTTTTAGATAAAAGCGAATCATTCGAAATCTATACAATAAAACGTGTTTTGTTTCATTTTTTTTATGAAGATTGAGATTTAGTTTATTCAGAGCCTGTGCTGAAAATTTACTGCGCGGTCAGTGGAAGACTGCTCCCATGTTAAAACGGCGTCGTTTTAGCTGCTCTCCTGCGTCACCGGTCGCCTCACCTAGACTATAGTCGGTGACTGGCTTAGAATTCAGTCGAAACTCCGTCTCGAGCACGCGCTCTGTGCCTCCTGTTTCGCTTGCGCAGCTCGTGCGCCGAAGTGCTATCGAAGGCAGGAAGCTCGCGCTGGAGGCGGAACATCTCCTGCGTTTTTAAAGGGAAACGAAAACACTTCTTGAAAAAAGAAAACGACATAGACGCGAATTCTGGCGTATTTTTATACCGTGAATATGAATATCAGGTTAGTTTTCCCCGAAGATCTAACTAAACGCGATAAAACTCGAAAAACCTCCAACCAGTCGTGACGTCATACTAAGAGCTTTCGGCCGCCAAGTGCGTGTCGCTCGTGTGGGCAGCGCGTGCAATGGCAAGCTTGTCAGGTATATTTTTCCGCAATGACACCAATCGTGACGTCTCTTTCTGACCTTTCTGAAAATATCAAGAGTGCGCGTGCATAGCTTTGATACGCGTTGAAGATGCGCGAGAGCAGAGATTCCGAAAACTCCTAGTGTAACGTCACGTCCCGGGAAGGAGGGGCTTCGGCGCTACTTTAAATATTCATTTCTGCAGCCTCCGTGCGCCAAATTGAAAAATCATCTCGGTATTCGTTATCCTGGAGGCCAAATAAAGGTCATTAAAGTTTTTTTTTTTCTTTCTAAAATACAAACCGCTTCAGTTTCCCCTTAACCTGTCACCCACTGTAGACTAGGCCTGTGCGTTCTAATGATTACCTCACTAAACTACGATCAAATGCGGACACGGGTTGGACACGAGCAGCGCGTAAACGTTTGATCGGGGCTCGCTTTCGGTCCACACGACGGCGCCATCTACTCGCGTTTCACGGAGAGAGACCACGGAACGAGTAGGCTTTGTCAATAGTCTAGGTGTTGTTGTGCCGGCTAAGAAGCTAATAAACAAGAAGTCTAGTTGATCGTGTATAATATTTCATCACACAGTACAAGATGTAAACAGTCTCACCTGCGCTTCAAGTGACCTAACCGACGTCGCTCCTACGAATGAGTGCGAAAATCTGTATATACGATTTAGTTTCGAGCGAGTTCTCATGAATTTAAATATTATTTATTTGCGTTCGTCTGGTCATATCAGGTTCCTTTACTCCCTTTCACTAGAACTACCGTGAAATATACTGAGCTGGGAGCAACCGCCACACCCTGAGCGGACTTGCTATGAAGTCGCTCGTGGAGCGAAAGCGTCGCTCGAGGCAGCATGTTCTAGGAATGTCCTTCTGTATTCACCGATGTTCGTTTGCAAACAAGCTCGCTACCGCCCGCTATCGGTGGGCCCCTGATCGGTTTTCCTCTTTTGCTTATTTTTGTCTCGCATCCTTTTGTTATTTGTTCTACTTTCTACGATGCGTGCATGTTCTTACAAACGTATGACAGGTACTTCTCCGAAGGAAAATGTTCTTACCCAATCACTGTGCGTTGCTGAAGAACAAATTAAAACACCACCGGAAGTCTACTGGGGCACCAACTACTGCGGCGCCATCGTGGTATCAACTCCCACCGAAGGCGGTGAATAGGGTGATGACATTTTTTTCTCTTACTCTATGCCAGCAACCGCGGGA